TTCTGAGAGTGCCCATCTGGTCTGAGTGGCCCCTGGTGGCTGCAAGTTCCCCTGTTGACCCTTGGCACCATTTCAGGAAGGTTTGTGTCGGGGCTCACAATGAAATTCAGGCACTGTACCTCCTGCAAAGTAATTCTGAGCTGTGTCCAAGGTTTTCAGACTGTTTATATGTGGATAAAATATGTTCTTGACATTGTCTCTGGATATGGTGAATCTCCCCTTCATGGAGTCTAGGTAGTATGTTCCACTGCCATTTTCATTTATTTGTGCAGCCCACTCCAGTCACTTCCTGGGTGCCTGGCAGACCCAGCTCATCCAGGAGTCCAGTGGCTGCACAGGGGATTCTCATGGATTCCCCAGTAGGCACTAAACATACTCTAGATTCAACCAGGAAAATCCAGCTCAATACCAACTCTATGGTGTTCAGTGCTAATCATGAAGTGGGATCAGCTGGGAATCCAGAGCTGGGCTCCTCACCTAGAGCTGCAGGCTCAGGACTGGGCTGGAATTCATGAGCAGAAAGAGGCCCTATTTGTATGTCCTACTGCTATATAGCAATCTCTGAGTGGAAGTCTCAGGAAGGGCTGTCCTCAGTGCAGATAAAAGAGATGAAACCAAGGAGTTAGTTGGAGATAATAAAAATGCAATTGCATGTTATGTGATTGTGACAAAATTTCTAAACTCATCATTTTATTGTGTCTTTCACATTCATACACCTTTGCTTGTTTAATATCTTTCACAAAATTTATAACACATAGGGTTGACACTTAATTTTGTAAAATTCTTATTTTTTAGGAAAACTATTACATAGAAGTGTATGAATGAATAATGCATACATTGAAAGTAAAATAAAATAAAATAAGTAAATATAAATACGATATGAGTTTTCTTTGCACATATAAGAATACATTGCAAACGAGAGAGAGAAAGAGAGAATATTTGCACAGGCTTATTGTCTGTGGTGTCCAGGAAGGAGTGTAGTGTAGTCTGGCACTTTATATGAATGGCCATGTTGGATGAACCCCCACTTTTCCAGCACCCTGAGGACATACAGATTCCCAGTAATAGTTACAGGCCCAGGGTCAGGCTCAGGGATACTGAATTAATCACCTCCTCTTGAGACATGATATAGGGGTGCAGGCTAATACTTTAATGACTTATTGCACTGTGAGGGAAATTATCATCATAGTGACTAAGACATCATGTGGATTGCCTCAGAACTGCTACTGTGACATCACCAGGAAAGTGACCTCTGTTAAACAATGTCAATTCATTGTTTGTACATCAGTTTGCCTTGGGTTTTCCAGGGGAAAAATGTAATCTAAGAATGGAATCCTGAGGGTTGTATATTTTCAAATTAAGGCAGGAAACTCTAGATGGAGTTGCAAATCTCCTGCACTTCCTGGGAGCTCCCCACACTTCCTCTTCAGGGCCCTGTCCTGGGTGAAGTGTGAGCACTCCATGGTGTCCTGTTCTCACCCTGAGGCTGGCCAGAAGCTTGTTTTCAAATCTCACCTGAGGTTTCACTCCAATGTCCAGCTGCTGACTAGGGGTAGGCCAGGTCTACAGTATGAGCCTCCTGTCTCATTCAGGTGGCCTCACCCCAAGCCTTCAGATCCTCCACACACGGAAATGAAATGGAGTTGAGGGTATGGCCCTCCCTTCAAAGGAATTGTAGGAGGGCATTGGCACAAATCTGTTTGTGGTATGACTATGTGATCTGACATTCCTGCTCCTAGATATGCACCTGAGTGACTTGAACTTATGTGCACATAAAAAACTGCATATGCATCCTTGAAGTAGCTTCATTTACATTTTTAAAAACTTGGATGTATTTTGTTAAAATAAATATTGTATTAACTTAGGAAACTGCAGTTAATTTGAGAAAAATAAATTGTTACCCTTTTCATCTGAACAAACATACAGCTGGTGAAAGCAAGACATTAAGAAAATTGAAAATGAATTCTTACCTGCATTTCTGATTATATTGAGTTGCTGTATGATCATTGAGAAAAGGAAGAAATTTAACACTATATAAAAACCTTTATCCTCTCCTCAGTCTCTTGGGTACTGAAGGGTCAATGAAAACTGTCTCAATGCAGAACATTCTGATTGTCACACTATTCTGGGAACTGTGGAGAATTAGTATTACCTAGACGTGATCCTGCCTCCTGCATATGCACTGTCAGTTAATACTTGGACATCACCTCATAACAGCACAAAGGAAACTTTGTCCTTAGCTCAGTTAATCTAGGTGGCTCATGTACCTTATTCTATGATTCCTCTTACAGTGAACAGCAGCACTCTAAGGAGAGTTGTGGTGAGGACCAGAATTGTTGTTCCAGCTGGCTGAGGCTGGACCTCTGCAGGGCTGTGGAGAGGACAATCACTCCTCCACCTGTCTGATGAGCACAGAGAGAGGGGAGCTAGGAGTTGTGACTTTCTAGTGCAGCACCATGAGGCAGACGTGCTGCCTCCTCGGCCTGCTGCCACTGCACCTTCCACCTTCTCAGCAGCAGTGTAGGACCATAAATTCAAGTAACTTAATGAGCAATAAAAACATTCATATTTCTTCAGACATAGACTCCAATATTCTAATGGCTGTCACACCAACATAACTGTTATGACACATGAGCCACATTCAGAATGAACTTAGCCAAAGCAAAATATACCTGGTATGTTGGTGTAAACAGCTGTAGTGCAGAGGTGATGGCAGAGTCCTTGTGGTAGTCTGTGGCCAGAAGAGAATTTGAAAATGCGAGTTTGTATTGTGAATTGGAGATCAAATCTCAACCCATATTGCCTTGTTTTCATTCACATCTCACTCATTCTGTGCATCTCACCTGCCTTACAGTGGACTATATTTCATTAATTGATCTTTAATTTATTTATTTCACAATATAAAAATGGGACATATCAAATGTAGTATAATACAGTATTTGATAGAGGATATATGAAAATATAACAAGAAAGTAAGTGGACAATGAGTATAATTATGAGGTTTAAAATGAAAACATTCATTCCATAAATAAGCAATGATCAGAAATTCACTTGGGAGAAAAAAGAAAAACACTGAATGAGTCTGAATGTGAGTTTATGCCTGTTCTTGAGTGTATGACTGTGAGAGTGTATCACTGTGAGTGTGAGAGTGTGATCATGTATTAGTGGGTGTATTTCAGCCAGTGTGGGAGTATATGTGCGTGTGTGATTTAATGTGTGTGTACGTGTGGGTTATTCTATGATTTTTTTCATGTCCTTTCAACTTTGGATGCCATCCTGTGTGGGGGATGGCGTCCAAAGTTGAAAGTGGTTAAGTGAAATGAGGAAACCCTGGATGGAGTCAGGAAACACCTTGCTGTCTCCTCTCTGCTCCTCAGGGTTACCCTGGATGAGGTGTGAGTGCCCCCTGGTGTCCTGTTGGCTAGGGAAACTCTAGGGATCTTCAAAGACATGGCTCTTCTGCTGGTGGCTGCACAGGGGGTCACTGAAGACTGGGGTCTGGGACTTGGGTCTCCTCCATGTGGACCTCATGCTTGATGCTGGTCTTCTCCACACGAAGCTACAGCATCAGTTGTTTTCCTCAATGATCCCACCCATTTCTGGAGTTCACTTTAGGCAATTTACACACATATTGACTGTACCAGTGGCAATCAAGCTCCTGTCTATGCACTTGACCAACTTGAAATTTGTTACCTTGTGGAAGATGAGGCTGAAGCCTGGTTTAGAAAATGAGCTAATTAACAGAGGAAATGAACAATAGAGCTGTGTATCCATTCTGATTGTATGGGAAGCTTTCCACACACCAACCATCCACCTGAAAACTTGTGTTCACAGTGAAACTACACACACTTGTTTGTAGTAACTGCATCTGAATGGTCATCTCATGGAGCTTTCAGCTTTACAACTCACTGGGGTGACTCATGCTGATGATACCCAAATACCTGGAAACACATCTGGAGTCTCCTTCACATCATGAGAGATGAAAAAGCAATCCCATTGGCTGTTGAAGTCTATTCTGGAATGTCATTGAGTCAACGTCCTGCCGCCACATTGATACAGGATTTCATTGTACCTTGGAAGACCCCTTTCAATTCAGAGCACTGAGTTCAGGGTTCACTTGTGTGGTGAGCAATTCCTTCTTTCCAGGAAAAGGAATAGAGGAGACTCTGATGTACTGACTGTCTGATATTTGAAAATTTGTCTTCTCATGCAGGATAGTAATGTGTTGGCTGTCTGACACAGCATTGACCTCATGGATGAAATTGTCATATTCTTTCTGAGTGTGACATGATCCAAATTCATCAGACAGATTTCACATTTGTCATGGGAAAGTAACCTACGCTAGTACAATGGAATCTCCGTCAGTATGCAAAGCAAAGGAGACTCCCAATGATATTAACTCTTGGATAGTCTAAAATGACAGAGGACTCCAGACTTGTCACTGATCTCATGTCTATCCAAAATCAAGAACCTCACTGAACTGTAAATGAGACCACATGTACAGAATGGGCTGGATATGAATATTCTCAAGGTTGTCTGTCTGCTGTAACACCCTTACATTGAAGGTCAGGATGTCATTGGTGGAGATGTTTGTTCATGTGGGAGGAAGATTCATTTTCCATTAATGAAAGTCAGCTCTGTAAGTAATTTCTCTAAATAAAAATGGCTCAGACATTGTGGCCATTTCCTAGGAATACACTTAACACCTGCTTAAACTATTCCACTTCATATAACTTATCCAAAGGATTTGTAAAAATATATTCCCATGCATAAAAACACAGTAATGTTTTTGTCAACATTGTTAATTGTTATTTGGAAACATTCCTTCCTCTCTCTGTTATGCAGGTGGGTGGTTGGTGTGTGGAAAGATTCCCATACAATCAGAATGGATACACAACTATATTGTTCATTTCCTCAGTTAATTAGCCCATTTTCTAAGCCAGGCTTCAGCTTCAGCTTCCACAGGGTAACAAATTTCAACCTCAGGGTTTCTGACACTCTCAGGATGTGGTTTTCACATTGTTTCTTGCACAGTAATACACAGCTTGGTCCTCAGCTGTCAGCCTGCTCAGCTCCATGAAGGATGTGCTGGAGGATATGTCCACTGTCAGGGTCAACCAGCCCTTGAAGTTCTGTGCATATTTAGTCCTATCATCCTCAGGGTCAATTCTGCCTGTCCATTTCAGCCCCTGGCTTGGCCTCTGCCTCACCCAGTGCATATATCTGTTGGTAAAGGTGAACCCAGAAGTCTTGCAGGATATGTTCACTGAGGCCCCTGGCTTCTTTAACTCAGCCCCAGGCTGCTCCAGGAGGACCTGGGTGTGGACACCTATGGTGAGGTTGCAGAATGGATCAATACTCCTGTCAGGTTCTGGGGCTTCCTCAGTCCTTGGCCTGGAGAATCATTTACCTAAGCTGCTGCCAAAAATATGAATCTCCAGCACCAGCCCATGGTAGGGAGCTGTTCTTCAGGATTCTGTAGAGGAGGGTGGAGGTTGCTCAGAGCCCAGTTCCATGTGTATTTATCACAGCTGTCTCAGGTTATTTGCATACTCCTGATGCTGCGTATGTATTAACTGAAGACGTGATCCAACTTGAGAGAGGCAGATACTTGATACCTGCACCAGGCAGCAGCAGGATACAGAGGTGCATATACTAGTCCTGTCTGAGGAACTGCATCCCTTCTCCCATCCTAGCCTGTAAAAACAGAGGTCATGTCCACTTGAGTGTCAAGTCCCCACAGGACAGGCTGCTCAGTGTGACCCAGCTATTCAAGGTCCTCAGGATCTCTGAGTCATTCTTGCCTGCCATGCTGAGCAGGTGTATTGACACATAACTGTTTCCATCAGGCTAGCCCATGGTTGACCACTGCCCATCCCTCACCAGTGAAAAGCATCGTGGACACAACTAATATAATCCAGTACTTCCTGGGAAGTTTTCCTCCTGAACTCTAGCATTCCTACAGGAAAACCCTCGGATCTCAGCTTGTCCCTGTTATATGTGACCTGTGGCTGCATTTCTAATTTCACTCAGGTGGCTGCCAAAATTCTCTATTCCCTTGAAATATCCTCCCCTGAAAAAATGAATATATCACTTACAACTTAGAACCACAGTGTCTCTGGTAACAGCAGAATGCATTTAAGTTCATTGTCACATGTAACATGGATAGCCTCAAAATCAATTTCCAAGAGTCCTTTATTCCATCTGAACCTTCATGAGCATAGACTTTACCATCCTCATTTCTGTCCACGTTGTCATCCCTTCAATCCTCCATTGAATCACCCATTAAATTGTGTTTGGAGCATTCTTTCCATTGAATATTCTGCTTCTCCAAACATTTCCAAATTGCCTGAGCAAACCAATCCCAAAAGCCAGGCAAGCAGTAGTGAGGTATCAAGTAGTGAGGTATCACTTTACTGCACCAATGTTCACTATAGCACAAATGTCAAAAGATAACAAATGCTGGCAAGAATAAACAACATTTGGAACCCTAAAATTGTTGAAGGGAATGTGAGTCAGTACAGCCCTTATGAGACATTATGGGGGTTTCTCAAATAACTAAAAATATTTGAAATCTGGTCCAGTAATTCTACTGCTGGGTATGTGTCTGAAAGTATTGTGATCTGTATATGAAAGTCCTCCCTTCACTTCCACATTTGTGAAGCATATGCTCAAGCAAGAAGATATTCATCAATGCAGAGGTATATGTAGAAAATTATTTATCTAAAGCAAGTTGGCATCCTGTCATTTTTGACAATGAGTATGGAATTGGAAGGTATTATCATAAGTGAAATAAGAGAAGAATAGAAATGAAATTCTATGTAATGTCACTGATCTGCACAAGTTCAAATTTCCTTCTTCTAGAACTAGACAGAGGAATAGTTGTCTCTAAAGACTGAGGAAGGTGTAAGAGGAAGCTTCTTAGCCTGAGGGGGGTTATGGGAGAAAATAGTCTGGAAGATTGAGTTCAATTGCTCTATAATTCAGCAAGGTGAGCATAGTCTATGATGTCATATTATATACTTTTGTATAACTGGAACAAAAGAGTCTGTATGTTCACAAAGAGATGGCAGATATTTGATTAGAGGGATATGTGACAATTGTGAGTTTTATCATTTTAAATTGTATTCCCACATCACATAATTAACTATTACATGGTAATTTTAAAAAATAGTAATTTTAATGATTTACTAGTCAGAATGGATCTTTAACACAGTGTGGATAGAACACATGCCTTATATTTTCAGAGCCCATGGTTCTGTCTCCTGAAACTGTAGCTAAATGAATAGCTAGATTGGCAAATTAAATGAATAAAGAATTAATTAAAATACAGACCCACATATCTGCTAGAGAGAGATTACAACATTGCAAGAAATGTTGGTTATAAAAAGCCAAATGCATTTGAAGATAACCTAATTCAACATAGTACTCTTTATGCTGAAAATGTAAAATACATTGAAATTTTGAATTCAATAAATGTAACTTATTTAGGAAGTGAAAATTACTATAAACATAAAATTGAGGCTTCAGTGACCAAATGAACTGTCTGCAAATGCTGGATGCAACATTTGGTGGGAAGTGAGTCTGGCATTCATTGATGACCAGGAAAGAGGTGGGCATGGACAAATTCTAAGATGATTTCTGTCAGGCAAAGAAATCACAATGATTCTTGGGCAGTCTGCCTAGTCAATGTGTTTTCAGGTAGTTTATTTAAATAATACATGCCACAAGACCACAAGATGTTATTACTAATAAAACATTCAAGAGCTTATCTGTTGCAATAAATGCCTTTTATATAATAGGAATAAAATTAGTAAGTGTAAAAGAAAGATGACACACTTACAAAAGACTCAAATATAACTGTGTTGAAATGAATACCTATGCTATCTAAATTTGAAAATATTTTAAAATTCAATATTGCAGGATGTTGTATGCTTCAATTTTGATTCACAAAACCTTGTTATAGCAAAAAATTTTCAACAGATGCTGATTTTGCTGTCTAGACTGACTGACTTTTGTGCAACGAGATGAGTACTACTGCAGAATTTAAAGTAATCTTGATCATACTGCACCTTCAACATTTAACATAGGCATATACTCCTTATTAAATGGGTTTGAACAGAGGAATCAAGATTCTACAGATCTGTGATCCTTAGGAATCCTTCCATAATGGGCTGGAAACCTAGGAGGTCATCCAACACATATCTTTCCAAGATGTGTCTGAGGAATCCTACACCACTGAGCCATCTGTAGAAGATGGGAGTCAGAGTCAATTTCAGCACAGCCTCTCTTCAGGTCACTGATGCCACAGCCACAGAACTGCTGTACAGTTTCTGCGTGGACCCTGCCTGGACTCACTAAACTGTGTGTCTTCTGATGGCATCCATTCTGTCCTAGAGTCATTCTCAAGTCACCACTGTTCACATGCCAAGTAAAATCTCTAGGAGTAGTGGTCACCTATGAAACTGTGTTTGTGTGTGTGAGTGTGTGTGTGCCTGTCATGCTGTCTGTCTTTTTTAACCACATTATGGAAGAATAACTCATATATGTCCACATGCATTCTGAAAACTATGGATTATGACCAATTTAAGAGAATTTATGTCAGAGTTTCTCAACCTCGTATGTACTGACATTTGGAGTCAGAAAATTCAATACAGTAGGTAATGCCTTGAGCTTTTTGGCCACATGGATTGTTTTTAGAAACTTGATGTCAGTAGGAAAATTCTATCCTATATTGTTACAATTAAAATTGTATAGTCTTGGTTCAGAATATTATTCAGACAATGTCAAAGGTCCTCTGTGAGTGGGGAGTTCTGCAATATGAGAGTATCAACAACCCATACATACCATTGCCCATATCAATCCAAGGGAATGGATCTAAATGGTTGAGATTAGTGTGGGAATTTATTGGGAAAATACAGCGTGGAGATACAGCAGATGTCAAGGAGAACTATATGTGGAACTAATGTTTACAACTTTATCATTAATAGTACCATATAGTAAACTCTACTGCAAACAAACGCTTCCTTTGCAAGTATTTCTGTGACATCTAAACTGAGACAGGGACATGTCTCTGGAGGTGTGATGCAGTTCTTGTATGATGGGTCATAGTTATCATCATAACAAATGCTACTAATCTACACCAAGCTCTTTCCAGTGGGCTGGCAGATCCATGTCCAGCAGTCATTATTTGTTGTGAGTAACCAGATACAACACAGGTGAGGGACAATCTTGGAAGGCTTTACTAGGCCATGTCCTGACCCTTGCAGGATCACCTCTGAGGAGTCAGAGCAATCCCATTGATTCTCCTAGTCTATTCTTAAGAGTCTTTGAGTCAAGGTCTTCTGGCCACATTGACAGATGCCTTCACTGTACCTTGGAGGGCACCTTTCAATTCAGACCACTAAGTCCAAGTTAACTTGTGTCATCATCACTCCCTCTTTCCAAGAAGAGGAAGAGAGGAAACTCAGATGTATTGTCTGTCAGATATTTGCCAATTTATCTTTTAAAGAACATAGTAATGTTCTGGCTGTCTGACCTAACATTGACCTCATTGGTTGAGAATTGTTATAGGCTTTCTGAGTATGACTTGCCCCACATTAATCAGACAACTTACACATCTGCCATGGGAAAGATCGCTATACTACTGCCATGCAGGCCCTGTTAGTGTGCAGAGTTAAAGAGATTCCCAGTGACAAAAAGCCGTGTATCTTCTCAAGGGTCAGAGCTCTCCATACTTGTCACTGTTCACATATTTATCAAACACTGAACACTATACAAACTGTGAGTGAGGTCACAGGTAAGGAATGGGCTGCTGGATATGATGGCTGTCAAGGTTGTCTGTCTGCTGTGACACCCTTACGCTGCAGGGCAGGACACCATTGGAAAAGAAGGCTCTGCATGTGGGAGGAGGATTCTATGTAAATTTCTGAACCAAGTCACCATTTTCCATGAATAAAAGTCAGCTCCCTTAGTAAATTCTGATAAATGAAAATGCCTCAAGCATTGTGTTCTTTTCTTAAGAATACACTTAACAATTGATGAAACATTTCAATTTCATGTTACTTATTTGTCCTCATGAATAGAGACACAGGAATGTTTGTGTAAATACTGTTAATTGGAAATTTCCCTACTCTCTGTGTTTTGCAGGTAGAGTGTTTGTTGTAGGGGAAGTTTCCCACATGTCAGAATGGACTTATAGCTGTATTGTTATTTTCCTCCATTAACTATCCCATTTTCTGGACCAGTCCTCTACCTTATCTTCCACAACGCAGCTGCCTTTCCCACAGGGTTTCTGACAGTCTCAGGTTGTGGTTTTCACCCTATGTA